GGGAGTCATGTGGAACATCAACAGCTACGACCAGTGGGGGTGAGTCTACACACACACACCTGAACACACTACACACACACCTGAACATATTACACACACACCTGGGATCTGTTGTTCATGTTTTTTTTCTGCTCAGGGTTGAACTGGGGAAACAGCTGGCGAAGCAGATCGAGCCAGAGCTGAAAGACGACTCGGAGGTCACCTCCCACGACTCGTCCACTAACGGACTCATCAACTTCCTGAAGAAGAACTTCGCCTGAGCCCCCTCCCCCTCCTCCTCCTCCTCCCCCACTCTGTACTCCTCTGTCATTGGCTGAAGCTCTGTTTTGGTCCGTTCAAGCACTTCCTGTTTGTTGATGTGATACGTCACATGTAGCAGTGTTTAAACTTGAAAAGGGAGATTATATATCGCTTTAAAGGGAGAAGAGAAAATCAAATGTGCAGATGTTACTGTAGGTGACCACTCTAGTCAGCACTGCCTTTCAAAATAAAAGCCCTGTTGTCACTGGATCACATGGTTTTGTCTTATTTCTACGGTTGACATGATAGCAGAACTGTGCACCAGTTTGTTTGTGATTGATGAGTTCATTACTCTCACACTCACCATAGATTCAGAATGTAAAGCATATTAAAGAGCCCATATTATGCCCTTTTTGGGATTCGTATATTTAATCTATGTACCTACTTTTGTACGTTCACAATAGATAAAGTCTGAAAAAAGTGTCTGTTTTCATGTACTGCTCCTCCTTGCTCCTCTACACTCTGAGTCCGTCAGCTATGCTCTGCTGAGCCCACACTGTTAGACCCACGTGGGCCAAGTCTGCTCTGATTGGTCTGCCGATCCGCTCTGCCGTTATTGGTCAGTTGCTCAGCACACGTCTCGGAAATTTCAACATGAGCTGCAGGGCTTGCCACAACGAGCCAATGGGCTTAGATCAGTGATCTCACACTGACAATGACGTCGGACTGACAATTTTTATCGAGGGGGGCTAGAACCAAGCGTTACATGCAGCTAATGCTACAGCTAACAGGAGGACGTTGGAGAAGCCGGGTTTCCGCTGACTTTGAATTTTTGCACATAGATGTGCCTAAACATGTACAGGACACTTGGAAAACACACTAAAGAGCATATAAAACCAGAAAAAGCATAATATGGAACCTTTTAAATAAATCTACGACAGCACGACAGCACCCAGAGGTTAAAGGTCAGGGACTGAATTAGCTGAGGTGACACCAAACATACAGCTAGCAGCTCCCACCAGTCACTCTAAGAGGCCATGTGTTTAAACATGTTTATTTTAACATGGGGCTCTATGGGGACTGACTCACTGCAGGAGACAGACTCTAGTGGACACTGGAGGAACTGCAGCTGTAAAGTTGGACATTTTAACATGGGCTCTATGGGGACTGACTTACTTAGTGTATACTTCAGTAGAGTTAATATACCAAAGACTCTTGTCTCCTGCTGGAGTTTGAAAGACGTTGTCCGACTAAAACAGAATAAAATGTGTCTGGATGATCTTAATCTTCAGTGAGATTTGACAGGAACAGAACCGGTTTGTTTCTTTATCATATGTGAAGTGGTCCATGAAAGAACAGGTTTCTAGAAACACACCTGTGGAGGAGAAAACATACCTGTGTGCAGAGTGGGCGGGGCTATGAGTGTGATGACTGTGTAAGATTTTACATGAACACTTAGCTGTAGGAGATGAACACATCGTCAGAGGATGGAGATCACTTCCTGTTTCTGTTGGGTGTCTGCAGCTGTGTTTGTCATCACTCTGCTCTGGAGATTTATCTGGGAGGTGGGACTCATGTTGGGGCCCTCATCGGGGCCCTCGGGCCTCCTGTGTTTTATCCTTCCTCCCGTCTACCGCGGGTCGCTCTCCTCGGCTGCAGCTTCATCCTGACCTTTGTCACTGAGAGGAGAGGCGAGCTGCTACAGGCGGGGGGAAGAGCGGTGCTGGTAACAGGTCAGTCAGACCCCTCTCATTTATTTCCGTCCAGTGTTGCATTAATTTTTCACCAAGATCTTGTATTGATGATGGGAGAGTCGGACCACTGCGCAAAGTCTTCTCCAGCACATCCCAAAGATTCTCAATGGGTTAAGGTCTGGACTCTGTGGTGGCCAATCCATGTGTGAAAATTTTGTCTCATGCTCCTGAACCACTCTTTCACAATTTGAGCCCGATGAATCCTAGCATTGTCATCTTGGAATATGCCCGTGCCATCAGGGAAGAAAAAATCCATTGATGAAATAACCTGGTCATTCAGTATATTCAGGTAGTCAGCTGACCTCATTTTTGGGCACATAATGTTGCTGAACCTAGACCTGACCAACTGCAGCAACCCAGATCATGATGGGTGCATCACTTCATCTGCCTCTCTTCTTACCCTGATCACTGTGGAACAGGGTAAATCTTCTGTTCAGTTTTTAATAATGCGTTGGACAGTTCTTAACCCAAGTTAGTAGTTTCTGCAATCTCCTTTCTCTGCTTGATGCATGCCAACGATTTGACCCTTCTCAAACAGACTTAACATCTTTTCCACGACCACAGGATGGGTCTTTCAACGTGGTTGTTTAAGAAATGAGAAGCTACTCATTGCATCAGTTGGGGTTAAATAACTTGTTGCCAGCTGAAAGATAATCGCCCATGCAGTTATTATCCAATGGGAGGCTCTTACCTATTTGCTTAGTTAAATCCAGGTGGCGACTTTTTTTTTGGACAGGCAGTGTATATTTGAGCTAATGTTCAGGTGGAGAGTCGTCAATTGTTCCCCTGAACAAGGACGTGAGAACACCTGCAGCTCACTCTGATCATGTTCCACCTGACTGACGCTGTGACCTCACACAGGTGAGTCCAAGTGAACAGGAAGTGTTCCTGCATCAGATAAGAGGACTCAGAGCAGGTCAGGGGGCGGTACCTTGTGATGGAGGTTGTTTCTGATTGGATGCTGAGACTGAGCAGGAATGAGGAAGTCAGCAGGAATCATCCGAGTTCCTAGAGGAGAAACGAGTCATTGAACGCTTCACAGAAAACAACAACATATAAACGTGTGATATGATGCTGATGTGTGTGTGTGTGTGTGTTACCCTGGTGTATGAGCTGGTAGAAGGCGTGTTGTCCGTTAGTGCCTGGTTCCCCCCACACGATTGGTCCAGTGTGATGGGCGTGTCCAGGGGCCCCCTTGAACTCTAAATTGTCATCCCAAAATCCAAATCTGATGGGCTACTTGTCTAATCAGAGGCAGATGTTTTGTTGGTTGTAAATAAATACTTGAAAATTCCAAACCAAAACTTGCGCACCCTGTTGGTCTTACCTTGACAGCGTGCACGAGTTTGCCATCATTGTTTTTGAGTCTCTGAAGAATCAAACTATAAGATTTAAATGTTGCCAAACTGTGTAAGGTACAAGTACATATCATCAAATTGGATAGGAAAGAGCTTGTTGTCTCTTCCTGTTGCAGGTTTTGTTGCAGGTTGTCTCTTCCTGTTGCAGGTTGTCTCTTCCTGTTGCAGGTTGTGATGCAGGTTGTCTCTTCCTGTTGCAGGTTGTGTTGCAGGTTTTCTCTTCCTGTTGCAGGTTGTGTTGCAGGTTGTCTCTTCCTGTTGCAGGTTGTGATGCAGGTTGTCTCTTCCTGTTGCAGGTTGTGTTGCAGGTTTTCTCTTCCTGTTGCAGGTTGTGTTGCAGGTTGTCTCTTCCTGTTGCAGGTTGTTTCTTCCTGTTGCAGGTTGTGATGCAGGTTGTCTCTTCCTGTTGCTGGTTGTCTCTTCCTGTTGCAGGTTGTCTCTTCCTGTTGCAGGTTGTGTTGCAGGTTGTCTCTTCCTGTTGCAGGTTGTCTCTTCCTGTTGCAGGTTGTGATGCAGGTTGTCTCTTCCTGTTGCTGGTTGTCTCTTCCTGTTGCAGGTTGTCTCTTCCTGTTGCAGGTTGTGTTGCAGGTTGTCTCTTCCTGTTGCAGGTTGTCTCTTCCTGTTGCAGGTTGTGATGCAGGTTGTCTCTTCCTGTTGCAGGTTGTCTCTTCCTGTTGCAGGTTGTCTCTTCCTGTTGCAGGTTGTGATGCAGGTTGTCTCTTCCTGTTGCAGGTTGTGTTGCAGGTTGTCTCTTCCTGTTGCAGGTTGTCTCTTCCTGTTGCAGGTTGTGTTGCAGGTTGTCTCTTCCTGTTGCAGGTTGTGATGCAGGTTGTCTCTTCCTGTTGCAGGTTGTCTCTTCCTGTTGCAGGTTGTGATGCAGGTTGTCTCTTCCTGTTGCAGGTTGTATTGCAGGTTGTCTCTTCCTGTTGCAGGTTGTGTTGCAGGTTGTGTTGCAGGTTTTCTCTTCCTGTTGCAGGTTGTGATGCAGGTTGTCTCTTCCTGTTGCAGGTTGTGATGCAAGTTGTCTCTTCCTGTTGCAGGTTGTGTTGCAGGTTTTCTCTTCCTGTTGCAGGTTGTGATGCAGGTTGTCTCTTCCTGTTGCAGGTTTTGTTGCAGGTTGTCTCTTCCTATTTCATGTTGTGATGCAGGTTGTCTCTTCTCTCGGCGGCTGTGGCTCAGTTGGTAGAGTTGTTGCCTCTCAACCAGCAGGTTGAGGGTTCAATCCCCAGCTGTGTGTGTGTGTCTGTCAGGTTGTGATGCAGGTTGTCTCTTCCTGTTGCAGGTTGTCTCTTCCTGTTGCAGGTTTTGTTGCAGGTTGTCTCTTCCTGTTGCAGGTTGTGATGCAGGTTGTCTCTTCCTGTTGCAGGTTGTGTTGCAGGTTGTCTCTTCCTGTCGCAGGTTGTGTTGCAGGTTTTCTCTTCCTGTTGCAGGTGGTGATGCAGGTTGTCTCTTCCTGTTGCAGGTTGTCTCTTCCTGTTGCAGGTGGTGATGCAGGTTGTCTCTTCCTGTTGCAGGTTGTGTTGCAGGTTTTCTCTTCCTGTTGCAGGTGGTGATGCAGGTTGTCTCTTCCTGTTGCAGGTTGTGTTGCAGGTTGTCTCTTCCTGTTGCAGGTTTTGTTGCAGGTTGTCTCTTCCTATTTCATGTTGTGATGCAGTTGTCTCTTCTCTTGGCGGCTGTGGCTCAGTTGGTAGAGTCGTTGCCCCTCAATCCCCAGCTGGGCAACATATCTGATGTGTCCTTGGGCAAGACACTTAACCCTGAATTGCTCCCACTGCTTCAGTGGTGGTGTATGAATGGGATTAATTACTTCTGATGGATGATACTACATAGCGATCACTACCATCAGTGGGTGTGACCTGCGGTGTAAAAGTGCTTCGAGTAGTCGGAAGAATAGAAAAGCGCTATATAAGCTCAAGTTCATTTACCATTTACCATCCATTCCTGTTGCAGGTTGTGATTCGGGGTTTGGTCACGCTCTGGCAAAGCGGCTCAGTGACGAGGGCTTGCAGGTGTTTGCAGGTGTTCTGGATGTGAACGGAGGCGGAGCTCAGCAGCTCAGAGAGCGAGGATCTGAAAAGCTGAAGGTGCTGCAGCTGGATGTGACGGACAGCTCGCAGATAGAGACTGTTCACCGGTACATCTGCACTCAGGTGGAGGACACAGGTAACACTGAACCCCACGCTATGAACAAGACCTTATTCAGGTTGCCATGGTATCAACTTGTCAATCACTGGCAGCCCTGCCCTAACTCCTCCCCCTGATTCCTGGTCTCTTTGACTCAGTTGACCGTAGTCACAGTTCAGTATGCAGTGCTGACTGTTCAGTAGTCTGAACCCTCGTGGTCATTCAGTAGACTGAACCCTCATGGTCGTTCAGTGGTCATTTTTTGGGTCAGTATTCTGAACATTTCAGGATAGATATTAACTTCCTGGTTTTATGCAGTATGGATCGGATGCATCCTTTCAGGAAATTAGTTGTTTTTTATCACCCACAATGCAGTGCAACATTAAACGTAAAACGTCACTTCAGGACCCTGTGATGCGTTTGTGGTCTCTGCAGGTTTGTGGGGTTTGGTGAATAACGCAGGAGTCCTTCAGTGTCCCACAGACGCAGAGCTCCACCCCATCACGTGGTACAGCCGCTGCATGGACGTCAACTTCCTGTCGGCGGTGAGGATGTGTCAGGTGTTCCTCCCTCTACTCAGGAGATCCAGAGGACGCATCGTCAACGTGACCAGCATGGCAGGTACGTTTAGTGTCGTCACGGTAACACATTTTTAAACTTATTTTCCTATTCCTTAATCAATAAGTTTATGGATAAAGTGAATTGATGAAGGCAATGTTTCTTTCTCCAGGTGAGGTGCCCTTGCCGATGTTTTCGTCTTACGGAGCATCGAAGGCCGCCATCAGCATGTTCTCCAGGGTGCTGAGGATGGAAATGTGTGTGTGGGGCGTCAGAGTGACTTTAATCCAACCTGGAGGCTTCAGAACAAGTAGGTGTGAGTTCACTGTGACTACTGACCTCTGTGGGTTATGACTCAGACTCTTGATATTAGATGGGGCCTCAGTGAACCACTTCAAAAGGTCCAATGACACCTGGTTAAATAAAACACACCCCTTTGCTTCCTGGACTCTGACGTCTTTTTCTTTAAGTGTTCCATGATCAATTCTGCCCTGAACCCGGATCTCTCTGTTTCTTCCTCTCAGGTATCTTCGGTAACAGTGAAGACGTCTCTCAGTTCACAGATGAGGTCCTGGCGGCTGTGTCCCCTGAAGCCAGAGAGGATTATGGGAAAATGTACATCTCGTCCCTCCCCGGCTTCCTGTCCAAAATGTCCCAGCAGTCCTCAGAAGACCTGTCTCCAGTGGTGGAGGACATGCACCACGCTCTGCTGTCTGTTCATCCCAGACCACTTTACACCCCTGGACAGATGGCGTGGCTGCTCCCGCTCCTGCACCGCTGCTGCCCCGCTGCCGTGTCGGAGTTCCTCATCAGGAGACTGTTTGTACCAAGCGCCTGTCGACCTACAGGACTGACGACCAGCTGAGAAGCTAAACACACAAACTATTAAACAAGAACCAACATCCAGAGGCCGAAGATCTAAAGAGTCAGTAACATAAACATTTATCAGGTCAGAGAAGAAAATTATTTTAACCTCGGCTGTATTTTCACTCAGTTCAGTCTTTAAATGACTATGGCTGTGTCCGAAATCACTCACTCATTCACTACTCCCTATTCACTATATAGTGAGTTTAATGCAGTGGACTATATAGTGCACTAGCTCAGCAAAATTAAAAAACATTTCGGATACTACTCGCTCACTCACCGGCCGCTGACAGTGACGTCATTGTTGTCGCGCAACTGAAACGCGCAGCTTTGCAACGGCTGAGGATCAATAACAACGGTAAATAACAGCATGAATTTCTGTGATAACTCATATTATACTGAGTGTATTTTCATGAAACTTTTGCAAATAATAAATACTTATAAAATATAGAATTTTACATAATGAGACATATTTTCGGACCAAAACTAAATTATTTATGCTCACAGACTCTCGTTTCTCGTCTGTCATCAACATTAGGACAAACTAACATCACTAAAGTTGATGATCTCTTAATCTTTATTAAAACTGATCATAGAGTTCAGTAAAACGCTCTGAATATGAACTTTAATGAGTTTCTGTGTTCATGCTGGTCACTCCTCTCGTCTGTTTGAGAGCTGCCGAGTCAAAACCCAAACACTATAGTGCACTATATAGTGGATAGGGAGTGATTTCGGACACAGCCTATGAAATATTTACAGTCTGCATTAGACATTTCCCACAATGCAAAGCAGCAGGTCAGAGGTCAAAATGACGGACAGCAACATTCATTGCAACAGAGGAAATAATCCCAATCAGACCAAACCACACAAATATATCTTTATTGATTTTGTAAATCATGAAAATCTAAATTTATCTCTGCTCAGATTTTTTCAGACTGTAAGCGGACGCTACACTGTAGCGGCGTTTGACGTCTGTTGTTTACTTCCTCATTCCAAGACCAGAAACCATTTTAGCTGGTTCTGGTGTACTGCAGATTAACCAGGGACTGGAGGTCAGACTACAGACTGCTGTAGGGCGCAGTACGATGGACACTAGCAATGTACCATACTACATACATGTTACATGCTACAGTAACATGTAGTCCATACTACACAGACAGAAGCAACACAAATCTTCATCTCATGAATGGATGTTTATATATCTCATATTTTAACATTTTATTTCTGTATTTCTTTTGAAGTAAATCTTCATATTTAATCATCTCTGTGATGGTAAACGGTTTCTTGTAGTCTTTGTTTTCTCTTCTTCTGATGTTGTGTTTGAAGCATTTAAATAAAACTGTTGCTGTGATGAACTGGTCTTAAAGAACCCTGTGATTGATAAACTGGATTTAAAGAACCCAGTGATGGATAAACTGGATTTAAAGAACCCTGTGATTGATAAACTGAACTTAAAGAACCCAGTGATTGATAAACTGGATTTAAAGAACCCTGTGATTGATAAACTGGTCTTAAAGAACCCTGTGATTGATAAACTGGATTTAAAGAACCCTGTGATGGATAAACTGGACTTAAAGAACCCTGTGATTGATAAACTGGTCTTAAAGAACCCTGTGATTGATAAACTGGATTTAAAGAACCCTGTGATGGATAAACTGAACTTAAAGAACCCAGTGATTGATAAACTGGATTTAAAGAACCCTGTGATTGATAAACTGGTCTTAAAGAACCCTGTGATTGATAAACTGGATTTAAAGAACCCTGTGATGGATAAACTGAACTTAAAGAACCCAGTGATTGATAAACTGGATTTAAAGAACCCTGTGATTGATAAACTGGTCTTAAAGAACCCTGTGATTGATAAACTGGTCTTAAAGAACCCTGTGATTGATAAACTGGATTTAAAGAACCCAGTGATGGATAAACTGGACAGACACATGAAGTCACTGATCTTTGTCTTTAATGACGTGTCAGCGTTCTGCACACACACGTTTTATAACCACGATAGCCTCAAAGATTCCTCTCTTTCTCTTTTATAAAAACAGGATGTATAACATCCAACCAGCTCTAACATTTTGTACCTGCAGCTCAAACGCTGCACGTTTATACACAGATGAAAAAAGAAAATAATTTTATATAAAAATGGGTTAAAGTCACACACACACACACACACACACACACACACACACACACACACACACACACACACACACACACACACACACACACACACACACACACACACACACACACACACACACACACACACACACACACACACACACACACACACACACACACGAGCAGCTGGTCGAGGTGGCGGTCCTTCATCAGCTCGTTGCGGTGAACCATCGAGAACTCGAAACACGTCCAGATCTTCCTCCTCAGGTCAGAGGAGATGTCCAGTTTGACACAAAGGTCTGTGAGCCGCACACTGGCCACACACACACACTCTCTTCAGTCCTGAGGCTTTAGAAACGCTCTCTTCGTGTTCATTTCAACAACGTTCTGGTTCACATCTTCTTTCTCTGTTGCCGCTCGCTCTCGCTTCTTGGCAAACTTCTTCTTCATGCTGCCGACTAAATTCTCGTACCTGAGGAGAGAGAACAGGTGAATGCAGCTGAGCAGCTATGACCCTCAGAGAGTCACATGGTTACTTCCTTGGCAGGTTTGGCTCTCTCTCCTTTAACTCAAGAACCCTGTGATAAACAGAAACAAGGCTTAAACACGTGGCTCCTCCCCCTCCTGAATGTTAGTCAGTACCTCAGAGCCATCTCTTCATCTGTCACGTCTGTTTGCATCCGCCTCAGATCTTCTTCTTCTTTCTCTGTCTCATCTTTTGGATTCATCAGGAGCATCAGTTTCTGAGAATCAAACACCGTCAGAGACTTAAAACCAGAAACTTCACAGACATGTTTGAAGGAGACTCATCAACACTGATGAGGAAGAGGAGGACAATATGTGGCCGCTGTTTGGTGTTAATCAAGAATCTTAATCTAATCTCCTTCCTCTCAAATCAAGTCAAACTCATATTTTCTGCTTTCATTTCAGGGCTGCATGAAGACATGAAGCCAGAACAAAGATGCTCACACAGATCTCTGATAAACAGCAAAGCAGACGATCAATTATTCAACAAACCTCAACTTCTGGATTAAAACCTTTGAAGGAGATGCGACCGTACTTCAGCTCCTCGCAGGGAACAAAGCTCTTCTCCTCGATGATCAGGTTTCTGACAGGACCAACCAAATAGTCAACATTTGAAACTTTAAAAACACAGGATTATAACTCAGGGTACGGCTTCAGTTCTGATAAAACACTAGAGTCATTAAAGCTGACACATCGTAAATTTAAAGGCACGCTCGAGGATTATATTCATGCTGAACTTAAACGTGGAGTCTGACCGTGTGTGTTTACCAATCGATCCATTGAGACTAAAATTAACAGATTTTTAAATGAGGTTTGGTGGAGATCTCGGTACATGCACAAGGCAGAAGGCATCACTTCTAGTTCCCTAGTAGTATCCAAAGGCATGCCGCAGGGATCAGTCCTGGGACCACTACTCTTCATTTTATATATCAACGGTCTCCATAAAAATGTTATTAATGCACATTTCCACTTTTATGCTGATGACACTGTGATATACTGCTCTGCACCTACTTGCTTTTAATACTATACAACGTACCTTGTGTGACTTAAAACTTGTGTTTTCAGCAGTGTTGACTGCTGATAAAACGAAACTCATGATGTTCTCAAACTCAAAGTCACTGAACCTTCCTGCTATCACTATATACATTAGACTCCGTTTCAAAGCCCTGAAACGGAGTCTAAGTCCAGATATCTGGGATATGTGATTGATGATTCTCTCTCTTTTAGGCCTCACATTGAAAAAATTAGTAAAAAGACACCAGTTAAAATTAGGATTTTATTTTAGAAATAAGTCTTGCTTTTCATTTAAGGCCAAAAAAACACTTGTTGCTGCCACTTTTACATCAGTGCTGGACTGTGGCGATGCTATTTACATGCACACATCCTGACAGAGCCTACATGGATACTGTGTACCATGGGGCGCTGAGGTTTATCACCAATCTAAAAGCTCTAACTCACCACCGCTTCTCGTATGGTCGGGTTGGTTGGTCTGCCCGTAGACTAAACCACTGGCTTATTTGTATCTATAAGAGTATTCTCTGCCTGCTTCCATCCTGCCTACTGAGATACATACAGGAAGTTACCATCTTCACTCGCAGAATTTACACCTTCTAACCATCCCTAAAGCCCGTAGTGAGCTGGGGAAAAGAGCTTTCAAGTATGCTGCTCCCTCTTCTTGGAATCAGTTGCAAGAAACTTTAAATCTTCGGGAGCTGGTTTCCTTGACTGTTTTTAAAGGTCGTCTTAATGATCTGGAGGCGGGTCTATCTGACTGAATAAACAAATGTCAAAACTTAACTCTTTAGTCTTTAACTCAGGCAGGTCCAGGTACCAATGTTCATCACTGATGATTCTCTTCTCATCTTCTTCCAGCTGCTTCTTCGTCTCAGCGTCCAGACCTCGCTGCATGAACTGAGGACACACACCCGGTCACACAAACTTATCACCATCGTTTGAAACCATGGCAACTAAAGAGGAAGTCCTAAACACCCATTGTTGGACATGTAGGGTTTTTAAAGGTTGCCAATGTGTCAGTTAGCCAGTGTTACGGTTTAAGAAGTGACCGTGTTAACTGGTGACCTACAGCTGAATGTGTCTGGTTGTCATGGTTACACCAGCTGTGAAAGTCCTCATGAATGCTGGTTTAACATTTTTCTTATCAAACACATCTGATATTTTTTAACATTAAATGAAAGATTTCATTTATTTCATTATATTCATGTCATTTATTTTATACATTTACTCCTCTCTCTCTCTCTCTATATATATATATATAAAAACTTAGAGAAAGACCAATCGTATCCCTGTCATGTACCAAACCTGACTCAAAGCTGTGACGTAATCACGGCTGTGTTAACCAGTGAAAACACGCAGGTACACTCCGCGTGCCTCAGGTTATTTAGTGATTTAATCAACTTTATGAATTATTTCTGTGCTGTGAGGAAGGCCGGACGATTAACGGACTCAAACTTCACGTTATCGTTTTAAATACTGCGGGAAAGTAAATATTGTCTGATTTCTGAACAGGATCCGGAGCGGAGGACTCACCCTGAGAGCTAAAGCTAACTAACACTCGGCTGTGTTCGTTAGCTGACTCACCTTCATGCGCAGCAGGTTTTTTGACAGTTTCACGGAGTCGCTGTTCATCATTTCACGGTTACAGACTTTAAACTGAACGACACGAGGACCGGAGAGTCGACCTTTACCGGAAACCACGAGTTGTAGCTGCAGTTTAAACCCAGACAGAAGCAGCCGACTGTCGAGCAGCTTTGAACGAATAGCAGTCCGGCTAATCTACCCCTGATATCCCCGATGTTTAAAAAGACAACAAAAACATTTTAGATTAAAAACAAGAACAAATGCTTTAACCCTTATGCCATGATAAGAAAAAGTTACGTTGGGACTTTAAACTGCTATAAATTGATGATAGATCAATGTTTTTCCCCATTTTAAATTTTTTCATGAAGGGGTTCTTGTTTGATTTATATCATGATTTAATTAGTCGCAATTAAAAATAAATCCTTTAGATGTTTTGATCATAACCAATAATATTTTTTTTTCAAATTACATTATAATTCAATATTCTAAAAAATGTTTTGACTTAGATTATTATTAGTATCAGCGGCTTCGGCCTCTAGAGGTTTGTATTTTTCCAAATCTGCATGATTTTCTCTGTCCTCAGTAAATTGTGGATTCTATTGGATTCCTCATCGGGGTAGTTGCAAATCAAGTTGGACCTGGCTGGGGGATTAAGGGGGGTTATCCCGTCATAACGAGAACATTAACATCATTTTCTCTGGTTCTTATTTATTTTATCTAATTTTATACAGAGAACAAACGTTGTTATCTTAACATAACGGGATAAATAAGATGAGACATCCAGAAAACAGTCGACATTCACTCGTTTATCTCGTTATCCCGAGATAACAACACTTGTTCTGAGTGATCACAAGAGAAAAGCTGAAATGAACACGTTATCACAGGATAACCAGAGAAATTTACCAGGATATTTCATCAGTTTTCTTCATCTTGTTACCTCGAGATAACAACGTTGGGTTTCTTGTGATATCGAGTTGATTTAGTATGATCTTGAGAAAATAGTTTCCTGTGTTCGGCACAGGAGTTTGTGTTATTTTGTTTCTCTTGCTGTCATCATACCGTCTACAATAAAAGATGTTCACCTTCGGCCTTTGTCAAAAATAAGTAAAAAGTTGGTCACAGAAAAAAACAAAGTGAGTGAAGCATTGTGGGTAGTTTCAGCTCGTTCATCAATCTGAGCTGAGAAAACATGAAGACACATCAGTTCCTCTGCAAAAACGACACGGCATGTTTATTAAAGGTCACATATCCTTCTCCTCTTCAATCAGTGTAAATAAGTGAGCTCAAACCATGTGTGTGAGGTTTCTTGTTCTAAATCCACTCTGATCCTGTATTTGATCATGCCTATAAACCCCTCTCTTTCAGCCCTGCTCAGAACAGACTGTTTCTGTGTCTGTACCTTTAAATATGTAAATTAGTTGTGTCTGACCACGCCCCCTCTCGGGTGGCTCGGGCTTTCTCGCTCCATGTCCTATTGTTTATGGTGAGAAGGCAGACTCAGAGGGCAGAACAAACACCTAGCTGTGGGAGTGTCACCCACCTGGGGGTGGGGTTACTGCCTTTTGTGATGTCATGAAGGGAAAATCTCTACACAACCTGAGCTTCTTTTAGTTAACAAAACATTGTTTCCCATGTTAGCGAGCAGTCAATCACAGTCAGCCCTGCCCCTAACTCCTCCCCTCTTTCTGGTCTCTTTGATAATTTACAAAATGATCATCATTACTACAAGCTAGCTCCGCCCCCTTGTTCAAATATGGCCACTTCCTTTGACAAAATAAAATAAGACTTAAACTAGAGATAGAGACAATAACCTTAATAGGAAAATGTTTACTGAGGGAATAAATCAACTGACAGATAGGAACCTTTGTAGTCCTGTTGGTTATTGTAGTCCTGCTGGTTATTGTAGTACTGCTGGTGTTTGTAGTCCTGCTGGTTATTGTAGTCCTGCTGGTTATTGTAGTACTGCTGGTATTTGTAGTCCTGCTGGTTATTGTAGTCCTGGTGGTTATTGTAGTATTATTGTAGTATTGTTATTGGTTATTGTAGTACTGCTGGTGTTTGTAGTCCTGCTGGTTATTGTAGTCCTTTCTCAGCCTCATATGAACTCCTGGACTACAATTTCCTTCAGCGAGCGCGAGGACACCTCCCCCCGCTCAGCGTCCCTCAGCACTGTCAGCTCCTCCTGAAACGTGGCCACAGGACGTCCCAGCTGGTAGCCCACGTCCAGCAGCAGCTGCAGCACGGCGGCTCTGTAGTCTTTCAGTCCGTACCGTCTGACCGCAGGCAGAGCTCTCTGAGCCACAGAGAACGCCTGCTCGGGCTCCTCCAGGTCCCGGTAACAGACGGCGAGGGCGGACAGGGACGGTACTATCAGGGTGGGTCTCTGCCACGGCAGCAGCTTCTCCTGGATCTGTAAGACGGTCTGAAGCAGCTCCATGGCGGGCTCAAACTGACCAGCTCGCAGCAAACTGTGCGCCCGTCTCTGCTCCTGCTCCGTGAAGAAAGTGGCAAACAGAAGGGAGTGTCGGACGCAGCGGACGGCGTACAGCTTAGCCAGGTAGTCCTGCAGAGCCAGGCGGCGCTCTGAGATGATGTCAGGGTTAAAGTTGCCCGTCAGGAGTTTCCGGGGGAGAATGACCTCCTCCAGCTCCTCATGGAACTCCTCCAGCAGTTTCTGGTGGAGGTGGGAAAAGTCGCTGTATCGACGCTCCACCGACACACGTTTGGAATCAAAGCTGCCTGAACGCATCACCACGACCTCGTACACCTGTGAAGGACAGGAAGTAGAAGAGATTAGAGTACCTTTGTGTGTGTGCTTCTGTAAAAACAAAAAAGAATCAACGGTACAATCTCAGATTTCTTTTTTGATCAATTGTTTTAAAACGTTAAAAAAAAAAAAGGAAAAAAAAAAACACTTCAGATTTTGGAGAGAAAGCGCTGAAACGTCTGGCTCGATTGGATGATGAAACGTTATTGGATGATAAAACGTCTGGTTCGATAGGATGATGTAACGTTATTGGATGATGAAACGTCTGGTTCGATAGGATGATGAAACGTTATTGGATGATAAAACGTCTGGTTCAATTGGATGATGAAACGTTTGGCTCGATTGGATGATGAAACGTTATTTGATGATGAAACGTTATTGGATGATGAAACGTCTGGTTCGATTGGATGATGAAACGTTATTGGATGATGAAACGTCTGGTTCGATTGGATGATGAAACGTTATTGGATGATGAAACGTCTGGCTTGATTGGATGATGAAACGTTATTGGATGATGAAACATCTGGTTCGATAGGATGATGAAACGTTATTGGATGATAAAACGTCTGGTTCGATTGGATGATGAAACGTTTGGCTCGATTGGATGATGAAACGTTATTGGATGATGAAACGTCTGGTTCGATTGGATGATGAAACGTTATTGGATGATGAAACGTCTGGTTCGATTGGAGGATGAAACGTTATTGGATGATGAAACGTCTGGCTTGATTGGATGATGAAACGTTATTGGATGATGAAACATCTGGTTCGATAGGATGATGAAACGTTATTGGATGATAAAACGTCTGGTTCGATTGGATGATGAAACGTTTGGCTCGATTGGATGATGAAACGTTATTTGATGATGAAACGTTATTGGATGATAAAACGTCTGGTTCGATTGGATGATGAAACGTTTGGCTCGATTGGATGATGAAACGCGATGGGATGATGAAACGTCTGGCTCGATTGGATGATGAAACACGATTGGATGATGAAACGTTTGGCTCGATTGGATGATGTAACGTTATTGGATGATGAAACGTCCGGTTCGATTGGATGATGAAACGTTATTGGATGATGAAACGTCTGGTTCGATTGGATGATGAAACGTGATTGGATGATGAAACGTCTGGCTCGATTGGATGATGAAACGTTATTGGATGATGAAACGTTATTGGATGATGAAACGTCTGGTTCGATTGGATGATGAAACGTTATTGGATGATGAAACGTTATTGGATGATGAAACGTTATTGGATGATGAAACATCTGGTTCGATTGGATGATGAAATGTTATTGGATGATGAAACGTCTGGTTCGATTGGATGATGAAACGTTATTGGATGATGAAACGTTATTGGATGATGAAACGTCTGTTCGATTGGATGATGAAACGTTATTGGATGATGAAACGTTATTGGATGATGAAACGTTATTGGATGATGAAACATCTGGTTCGATTGGATGATGAAATGTTATTGGATGATGAAACGTTTGGCTCGATTGGATGATGAAACGTTATTGGATGATGAAACGTTATTGGATGATGAAACGTTTGGCTCGATTGGATGATGAAACGCGATTGGATGATGAAACGTTTGGCTCGATTGGATGATGAAACGTTATTGGATGATGAAACGTTATTGGATGATGAAACGTTTGGCTCGCTTGGATGATGAAACGTTTGGCTCGATTGGATGATGAAACGTTATTTGATGATGAAACGTCTGGTTTGATTGGATGATGAAACGTTATTGGATGATGAAACGTCTGGTTCGATTGGATGATGAAACGTTATTGGATGATGAAACGTCTGGCTTGATTGGATGATGAAACGTTATTGGATGATGAAACATCTGGTTCGATTGGATGATGAAACGTTTGGCTCGATTGGATGATGAAACGTTATTTGATGATGAAACGTTATTGGATGATGAAACGTCTGGTTCGATTGGATGATGAAACGTTATTGGATGATGAAGCGTTTGGCTCGATTGGATGATGAAACGTTTGGCTCGATTGGATGATGAAACGCGATGGGATGATGAAACGTCTGGCTCGATTGGATGATGAAACGTTATTGGATGATGAAACACGATTGGATGATGAAACGTTTGGCTCGATTGGATGATGTAACGTTATTGGATGATGAAACGTCCGGTTCGATTGGATGATGAAACGTTATTGGATGATGAAACGTCTGGTTCGATTGGATGATGAAACGTGATTGGATGATGAAATGTCTGGCTCGATTGGATGATGAAACGTTATTGGATGATGAAACGTTATTGGATGATGAAACACGATTGGATGATGAAACGTTTGGCTCGATTGGATGATGTAACGTTATTGGATGATGAAACGTCTGGTTCGATTGGATGATGAAACGTTATTGGATGATGAAACGTCTGGTTCGATTGGATGATGAAACGTGATTGGATGATGAAATGTCTGGCTCGATTGGATGATGAAACGTTATTGGATGATGAAACGTTATTGGATGATGAAACGTCTGGTTCGATTGGATGATGAAACGTTATTGGATGATGAAACGTTATTGGATGATGAAACGTTATTGGATGATGAAACATCTGGTTCGATTGGATGATGAAATGTTATTGGATGATGAAACGTCTGGTTCGATTGGATGATGAAACGTTATTGGATGATGAAACATCTGGCTCGATTGGATGATGAAATGTGATTGGATGATGAAACGTTTGGCTCGATTGGATGATGAAACGTTATTGGATGATGAAACGTTATTGGATGATGAAACGTTTGGCTCGATTGGATGATGAAACGCGATTGGATGATGAAATGTTTGGCTCGATTGGATGATCAAACGCGATTGGATGATGAAACGTTTGGCTCGATTGGATGATGAAATGTGATTGGATGATGAAACGTTTGGCTCGATTGGATGATGAAACGTTATTGGATGATGAAACGTTATTGGATGATGAAACGTTTGGCTCGATTGGATGATGAAACGCGATTGGATGATGAAATGTTTGGCTCGATTGGATGATCAAACGCGATTGGATGATGAAACGTTTGGCTCGATTGGATGATGAAACGTTATTGGATGATGAAATGTTATTGGATGATGAAACACGATTGGATGATGAAACGTTTGGCTCGATTGGATGATGTAACGTTATTGGATGATGAAACGTCCGGTTCGATTGGATGATGAAACGTTATTGGATGATGAAACGTCTGGTTCGATTGGATGATGAAACGTGATTGGATGATGAAATGTCTGGCTCGATTGGATGATGAAACGTTATTGGATGATGAAACGTTATTGGATGATGAAACGTCTGGTTCGATTGGATGATGAAACGTTATTGGATGATGAAACGTTATTGGATGATGAAACGTTATTGGATGATGAAACGTTTGGCTCGATTGGATGATGAAACGCGATTGGATGATGAAACGTTTGGCTCGATTGGATGATCAAACGCGATTGGATGATGAAACGTTTGGCTCGATTGGATGATGAAATGTGATTGGATGATGAAACGTTTGGCTCGATTGGATGATGAAACGTTATTGGATGATGAAACGTTATTGGATGATGAAACGTTTGGCTCGATTGGATGATGAAACGCGATTGGATGATGAAATGTTTGGCTCGATTGGATGATCAAACGCAATTGGATGATCAAACGTTTGGCTCGATTGGATGATGAAACATTATTGGATGATGAAATGTTATTGGATGATGAAACGTTTGGCTCGATTGGATGATGAAACGTTTGGCTCGATTGAATGATGAAGCGTTTGGCTCGATTGGATGATGAAGCATTTGGCTCGATTGGATGATGAAACGTTTGGCTCGATTGGATGATGAAACGTGATGGGATGATGAAACGTTTGCTCCATTGGATGATGAAACGTTATTGGATGATGAAACGTTTGGCTCGATTGGATGATGAAGCGTTTGGCTCGATTGGATGATGAAACGTTATTGGATGATGAAACGTCTGGTTCGATTGGATGATGAAACACGATTGGATGATGAAACGTTTGGCTCGATTGGATGATGTAACGTTATTGGATGATGAAACGTCCGGTTCGATTGGATGATGAAACGTTATTGGATGATGAAACGTCTGGTTCGATTGGATGATGAAACGTGATTGGATGATGAAACGTCTGGCTCGATTGGATGATGAAACGTTATTGGATGATGAAACGTTATTGGATGATGAAACGTCTGGTTCGATTGGATGATGAAACGTTATTGGATGATGAAACGTTATTGGATGATGAAACGTTATTGGATGATGAAACATCTGGTTCGATTGGATGATGAAATGTTATGGATGATGAAACGTCTGGTTCGATTGGATGATGAAACGTTATTGGATGATGAAACGTTATTGGATGATGAAACGTCTGGTTCGATTGGATGATGAAACGTTATTGGATGATGAAACGTTATTGGTGATGAAACGTTATTGGATGATGAAACGTTATTGGATGATGAAACATCTGGTTCGATTGGATGATGAAATGTTATTGGATGATGAAACGTTTGGCTCGATTGGATGATGAAACGTTATTGGATGATGAAACGTTATTGGATGATGAAACGTTTGGCTCGATTGGATGATGAAACGCGATTGGATGATGAAACGTTTGGCTCGATTGGATGATGAAACGTTATTGGATGATGAAACGTTATTGGATGATGAAACGTTTGGCTCGCTTGGATGATGAAACGTTTGGCGCGATTGGATGATGAAACGTTATTTGATGATGAAACGTCTGGTTTGATTGGATGATGAAACGTTATTGGATGATGAAACGTCTGGTTCGATTGGATGATGAAACGTTATTGGATGATGAAACGTCTGGCTTGATTGGATGATGAAACGTTATTGGATGATGAAACGTTTGGCTCGATTGGATGATGAAACGTTATTTGATGATGAAACGTTATTGGATGATGAAACGTCTGGTTCGATTGGATGATGAAACGT